CATCAAGATGATCCCAAACAGTCGTGTTACATTAGAGCAGGTTTTATTTGTTCGTTTTATTATGAACACTGAGTCAGAACAGAGCAGCAGCTTGTCGTTTGCCGCTCTCCATTTTCCTCCTTTGCTTCGTTTTGGGAGAATGTTTCCTGCCGGTTCTCGGCCAGCTCGACGATTTCATTTCCATTCTGTGGCCCAATTAGCGGTGATGTGATGCCCCTCCTCACAGCGGCTCCGGCCTGTGATTTAGTCGGTAAGACAAGTGTAGTTTTTACATAAAAGCTGCAGCCAGCAGAGCTTTCAGTCTGACAGTCCAATAAACAAAAGGGCTGCGAGGCTGACAGCCATCTGACAGTTTGCTCATCAGTGCCATCAGAGAGTGGGCCGCCCGCACTGCGCCTCTAATCATCTGACAGGATCTCTGCACAGCGGCAATCACACACACACACACACGTTTCACCAGACTCGCTGCTCACACACACGCTCATCACATCTCGACAAGACGAGCTCTCAGGCAACATCCACACGTTTTGGTTAAAAACTATTTTTGCCCGTGTTTGTGTCCGGTGTCCGCAATACGAAAAAAATGAGGTAGAACAGAAGAAGTAGTGAGGAAGAGATAATATGTAAAACAGCAGAGATGTTGAAAGGCAGAGGGAGATAAGAAGAAAACAGATAAAGAAAGAAGTGACGAGCACAGAGACGTACGATGGCAACAGGTGCAGATGAGACAGAGAAATAGAGACACGAGTGAATTCAGGCGGCTAAAGTATGAAATACACAAAACTAACCAGACAGTAAAAATGTTCCGAGAATAAAGAGACGTACAGCTTCATTCCCTCGGTTCAGAGTCTCCGCTCAGATCTCATTTCTGTTCACGACTCTTCACATCTACATCAGGGCGGAGCAGAGTTTTCCGGCCTGGATTCGAGCCGACAGCAGCACGTGTGGCACCGAGCAACGAGAACACAAGATGTCACATCCGGTTTCATACCTCCGCTTCCTTCTATTTGTGCTTTAATGCGTTTCAGTTCTGGTATCGGCCTCCAGTTTGTGACCGGATCAGAAGCATCACCTTGAATACCAATCAAGTCGGCGCCCCGTGTCTTTCCAGAGTCGAGCGGAGCCGTTAAATTCACGGCTCTTCAACAGGCGATTCAGATATAAGGTTAGTGTTTAAAAATCTAATCAAAATGTAGGCAGACAGATAAACATGTGAGTTTCCAGGTTCTCTGTCATGTTTGGAAGGGGAGGGTGTTCAGCTGCAATATGCAACTTCACCTCTAGATGTCACTAAATTCTACTCACTGAACCTTTAAGAGATAATCTGCCTCCACTTGACTTTTCAGATTTTCTTTAAAAGTCACAAAGATGACTCACATCTGGAGTCGAGTGAAGACGTCGTGCTCGTCTCAGCAGAGTGAACAAATCCAGACTCTGATTCAGTCTCACCCACAGAAAACTTCTCCCAAACTCCTCCGTTTAAACCAGGAAGATGAATGTTCTTGTCATTTCTCTGCGATGCTGCGTTTCAAGCAGCAGAGGAATCGATGACACATCCACTCGAGACTCATTTCGCCTCAGCACAGACGCAACAAAAGGCGCAATGAGAATCACAATGGAGCCCATTCATCAATCAGAACCTGCTGTGAAAAAAAAAAAAATCTATCCGGCTTCAGTATTTCAGTGTGTGATGATTCTAAAAATAAAAGTTCTGACCTTTACTTAATCAATGTTGCTCTCCTCATTCTCACCTTGGAGCGGAAAAGTTCTCTCAACAACTTCACAGATAAATGAAAGTAGATATTCCCTCAGATTAATCTGATGCATCGTGTTCACAAGACCCACAAACAGAAAACCTGAAAACACAAGGCCTCTGGCCACCGACGGTAAAATGAGCGACACTGATGCAAACAACAGAAATACAAACAGACAGACACACAAACACAACTGGCAGCTTTGATTTCTGTTTCTGATGTTGCAGGTTGATATTTGTGTCTCTGAAGGAGACAAAGAAAATAGAGTGGAAGGTGTTAAGTTCAGTTTTAATATAACAAAGATGAACAAGTCAAAGCAGCAAATCTTCCATTTCTCAGTTTCCACATTAATCTAAACTCACAAGCAGCAGAACAAATCACGAACACGCTTCACGACATGCCTTCGTCCTCACGCACACTTTGCAGCCACACAGAGCACAACACGCCCAACGTGCGTGTCACGTCTTCGGCCCATTAACAACCACGCACCGTGCGCGTCAGTGGAGCCACATTTACACACGTTACACCTGCGCACCAATTCACGGCTGACTCCATGAAGACAATTAAACAGCGTGTCTTACCTGTAGATGAGTTTTCGGTTCGAGTCCCTCTGAGGCGCTGAACCAACCGGAGCCTTCTGTTTGTGGAGCATTACGCGTCTGTGGCGCACGTGGATGTGGATGTGGAGGCCCCACGCGTCAGCCGGCGGTCAGTGCGCATTACGCACACTCGTACAGGTGTGTGTGTGTGTGTGTGTGTGTGTGTGTGTGTGTGTGTGTGTGTGTGTCTTACCTGTAGATGAGTTTTCGGTTCGAGTNTGTGTGTGTGTGTGTGTGTGTGTGTGTGTGTGTGTGTGTGGATCCAGAGACTCGACACGACTCCTCTTCCTGCGCATTCACGTGCTCCTCTGACTTTCCCAATTTCCTGGTTTGTGACGTCATTCCGACCTTTTACGCGTTCATGAGCTCTGACGTCAGAATTTTGGAAAACAACATGGAGGATTTTAAACCAATGTTGCTCCTGACTGGATCAGAGACGATAACTCGATTACATGTGACATGGTTCACTGTAGAAGTACAGCTGATATATGTGTATACTAAATATGGAGTGAAAGTGAGGATGACCTGAAAATAAATCTACTTAAGTTAAGTACAGATACATGAAAAACTGGACTGAAGTACAGCAACTCAGTAAATGTACATCGTTACACCACTACAGCTGAATACTGCAGTTTCAGGCCTCACTACACTCAGTACTGTCTCCACCATGGTTTTACTTTTCAGTACTGTCTCCACCACAGGTTTTACTTTTCAGTACTGTCTCCGCCACCGTCTGAGGAAACTGCCGCCGCCCTGCTGCTGCTGCTGCTGTCGACACTTTTCTCGACAGTTGAGTTAAATTGATGATTTGAGACGAGTAAAAATCAAACGATAGAAATGATGAGAAAACTTTCTGCCTCCCTCCATTTATTTCTCTCCCATGACGGCAGCCAAGCTAAAAATAATCCTCAGGAGAGAGAAAAAAAAAAAGTTTCTCCCACACGTCCCTGCAGTCGAACGTGTCAACCCCCCCCCACCCCCCACCCTGCCCTCGGAGAGCGTGTGCAACCAAAAGTGTGACACGCTGTCATTGAAACATCTTTCCACTTTGCTGCGTAATTGGAGGAAGCCGAGCGCCGACAGGAAGCGAGGGAGGGGGGGCGTTAGTGAATTATGGGAGACAATTGGATTTAGTTTTTCTTTGTATAATGGTGCTGAGCCCACTAAAGAACCTGAATGGATATCTTCAGTGAGCACTGGGCTAATGTAATAGTCTGATCTCTGTCCCACTTACAGCTCGGGAGTCGGATGGAACGCTGATTATTGGTCAATTACCTGGAAATAAATACGAATGGAGGAAACTATTTCACAGGAAAATCGTCTGATCTGCTGATGATGATTTCTGGTCACAGGGTCGCTGCAGAGTCAAGACTGATTTAAACAGATTTTCAGGCTAAATGATCCTGAAGAGTTTTCAGACAGAATCTTAAAGTCACAGAATGAATCAGAGACTCATCATACAGCCATTCACAGAATAAACAGAACGAAGCATCACCAGCTGGAAGTTGTCTACTTGTGTTTGAGAGTCAAACACGGCTGCCTACAAACCAGATGTTTGTTTCTTTCACCAGGAGAAAAGTAGAAACGTCCCCGTGCTACGGCCAAACTCTTTTCAATCACCTTTGCTGATTCGTCAGGCTCCTGTCACATGACCTCCTCTCAGAAGAAAACCACCAGCTTCAGCTTCTAGAGTGAACACAACACGGAGAATCAGTCAGAAGACAGTTAGACGACTGTCTACATGAAGAGGTCACCTGATATGTCTCTTAGGTGTGTTATAGTGAGGACAAGGATTACAACTGATCCAGAGCCTCGTGTGGACAGAGATTGTTTTAGTTTGAAATTGACCTTTTCAGACAAAATGTACTTCATAAGTCTTGTGTGTCGTCCTGTGTTGATTAAAAGATTAAGAAATAGATTACGTCTGTCGTTCCTCATGTTTTTAAAATCAGTTAGGATTTGAAACCAATCTCTTGTGTAGCGGAGATTCAATAAAATGTCAAATAGATCAAACAAATGATCATTTTACAGTTTTGAACAATGATCGCAATCGTTCTGCCTCGTTTGGAGCCGCTGTGACAAGTTGCCCCCCCCCCCCCCCCCCCCCCCCCCCCCCCCCTGCAGTAGCAATGTCATTCCAGCCGCGGATAAATCAGCCCGACCTGAAAGCTATCAGAGTTAGCAGTTTGCCTGGGAAATGATTATGGGGATTAAGGTTTGGGGCTGGAAGTGTGTTTTTCCTCCATCAGTCACAGAGGCGATTAAAGTAACACAAAACCTACGACAAGTGGCACAGGCAGGAAATTAGAAAGCTCTGGGCAGCAGACGTCCGTGCTCCAGTTATTTCCAGGAGACGGCGGCGGGAATGAACCGCTGCTCCGTCCACCTGGTGCTCCATCGTCTCTGCCTCGCTCAGATTGTAAAAGCTCCTGCAAACGTTCTGCGAGTCGAGATGAGAAAAGATGCCGAGGCTTTTGTTCAGAATAATGAGGTTTATGAGGTCTGGTGAGATGTGGAGGAGTTTTCATTTCCCACCAGTCTGTCCTCGTGTGGATTAAATGTCTTTCTAACTTTTCATCTATTCATCACGTTTGTTTTTTAATTCACCACGACAGACGTGCTTTCATCCAAATATAGAAACCTTTTATTTTACAATGTCCAGAAAAAATATCATACAATTCCAGTTTGATCATACAGTCTGTTAAATATCTAAATACACTTTTACAGTTGCAATGTCAGTAGAAAAAAATACTGGATCTTTTCTTTTCATGAGATACAAAATGTACACGTCCCTACACAAACACACATGTACACAATGTTGTGTAGCTGGCCTATGCTGGACATTAAAAACCTTTTACTCTTAGAAAATAACTGATTTTTACAACATGATGGGAAAAAAATGTATTTCGATATCACAGGAAAATACGTTTGTAATCATAGTGGATATTAAAATAATTATATTTCATATAAAGGAGCCACAGTAATGATGTTTTTAATAATTAACCACAAAGGGAAGAAGGGGAGAAAGAACAAACATACATGACGTAACAGAACTTGACATGATCAACAGAAAGATAAAATAAGCTGAATGAGGATCCTCCAGAAATTCAACTTCTGTCTCTGGACAGAAATGTATTTATTTTTTAATGTCTTGTAAAACCAAAATGAAAAGCGATGGTGGTTTGTTTAATTTGATTTAATTTCACATCATGTTGCTCTGAACCCTTTGGACCAGATCATCACAACAGTTTACAAACTAACGACTTGTAATGGAGTCCCTGTTAATTTGGGAACATTTCTACATGGAGCCAAGTTTTTAAGAAAGTGTCTGAAATGATGCATGAAAAGGAAACTAAGACTGAAATCTGCAGAATGATTGTCTGCAGAAAATCACTTTCACATTACAGGTCATTATTTTCTGACTCTTTAGATAATATTGATCAATTTGTCGTCTTTTATCCCATTTGGCCCCTGATTTGACTCTTCTGTCAACTCTTTATACGTTAAATTAAAATGCATTATGGTCGATAAGTCATTTGTCAAACTCTGTGACATGAGCTCAGTGGAGTCCGAGCAAATCAGATGTTATCGATAAAAAACTCTTTCAGATAAATAACGATATTTAAACCAGAATCTTATTTCGACCCTCGTATATAAACCAGTACAATATGTGAATCATCCTTCAAAATAAAGTGATTGAAACCGCCCAGAATGCACCAATGATCCCAAAATGATTTTAAAACACCGTCACCGTGACTAAGTGTTGAAGTAAAGAGGAAACGTAGGAAATGTTCGAGATCAGGGGGCGTGAAAAGGTCAGACGTGTTGCTGTCGTCATGGAAACAAGGCTACAGCAGTGGTCTGAGACAGTGACTCATCTCTTTACAAAGTGAACATGTGCGAGTTGCGGCGGAGTGTGAAAGTCAAAGAGGTAAGGGCGAGAGAAAGTGAAGTTACGGAGTGAGCACCGGGGAAGAGTTAAAACTGATGAATTACTTTTCGTTAATTAAAACTGACGTCTGATGAAACTGACGACACATCTGAAGAATATTATGACGTGATTTAGTGAATAAATAACGAGGATTTTAAAATCTTGCCTCGAGAAGAGAGAGAGAGGGGATCAGCATCAAGCAATAAAGAATATAATAAAAAGAAAAAATGATGAAATATACTTCTACAACCAATATTTATGAAGACGGGAGAAAGTGGTGAGTTTCACTGGTTCAACTTTATCGCAGCAGCTTCACGACTTATTTCAGGACGTACATCAAACAGTTTATTTCTTGAGAAAGACAAACTTAATAAAAGCTCAGGGAAATTCTGTCGCTGATGAGAACGATACAGGTTTGAAAGATAATAGTGTGCAAAGACCTTTAAAGTCAAATTATTGAATCACTACGAAGAGACGTCTTTCTTCTACTCACTGGTATAATAACATCAATTCTACTCTAATCCAAGTGTTCAACTGGGATTTGTGTTAATTCAGGTTTGTGATGCAAAATCTTGATAATGACGAATATTTGAATTGATGATAAAATGTGAAATCCACATTTTCTATAGAACACCTATCTTCACTTTTATTAGACTTAATGTGTGAAAACTAGATGTTACGACAACATAAAAATCTAATGACTAAGGATAGTTAAAAGATGCGTCTTTTTGGTTTTGGTTAAAAATCTACCACAGCACAAAACCTGAATCTGATTATTAAAAGGCGGGACAACGTGTACATGGTGTAGGTCTGCTCTATAACATCTGATGAGAGAGTGGGTGCAGGGGACGGAACATTAAATTATTAAAAAAAAACAACAGGGATTCAAACAGGTGGAAAACAACAATAATTCCCTTTCCCATAAAAAAGACTTTGGATTGTAAAAGTGGAAAAATAAAAGCAAACACAGCATCGTGATTGAAATATAACAGAGGTCTTCTCAGGGCTGTAGTTCAAGGCAGGAGAAAGTATGATGGAGAAGAAAAGTTTTTTTTTAGCTCTATTCACAGCCAGCAGTTACACACGTTTGTTTAAAACAGTCTGCGGTGCCTTCACGTCCCTTAACTCCGGTTCTGCTCCGACGAGTCGGGAGGAGACGTCTCTGGATAAAGATTCCAGTTTTTCCTTGAATTGTTTCCTACGCTTTTCTGGACACACACACATATACACACACAGACACACACACACACCAAGTCCTCTTCCAACAAGGCACTAAGATTTCATTCAAGTTTATCATGACACAAGTGCTTTATGCATTTTAAAGCCTCACATCCGTCTCAGTCCCGGAGCCCAAACCGTCCGTCTCTCTGTTCGCTAAAGTGATGTGTCAGCTCGGCAACCGGCCAATCAGCTGGCCCTGCCGTGGATCAGCTGGCCTGCCGGTCACGTAGCTGGTTATCAAGCCACCAGCGGACGTGACCCCGTGCTCGGCCGTCTGTGACGAGGTCGTTTGGGCGACTGAGCTCGGAGCAGAGAGGGCGAGGCAGAGAGTCGGTGTGACAGCAGCTCCTGCCCCCCCCCCCCCCATCACAACCGCAACAACAAACAAGCCCTTCGCCACTAATGGTCCACTTGCATAAACCCCGGTGTTAAGATGAGCGCTCGCCTCGGAGGAACAATAGAATGTGGCACAGCGACAAACAATCCATCGATAAATACAGCGAGGAAAGAGGAGGAAAAGGAGCGAGGAAGGAGGCAAATCTCCTTATTTCTTTGTCAACTTCCACCTGCTACATTCAAAGCTGCGGCTGCCCACATCCAAAGACAGGAGGAGAGCGAGCCGAGAGAGTCTCAGGCCGAGGGGCGGAGGAGGGAGGGAGGGAGGGAGGAGGGGAACAGAGGGTGGATAAGGGAGAATCAGTTCACCTGGTGATTTTCAGAGTGGTTCTGCCTGGCTTCACCCAGGTGTCACGATGACTTTGGCCTCCCCTCCCCTCCCCTCCCCTCCAGGGAGGTTGTCAGAGCTGCAGAGACATGAGGGGATTTGAGAGGGACAATGGAGAAGGTGGGCAAAGGTGCAGTCATGCAGGCAGATAGAGACGGACGTGCAGGCTGAGGGAGATCAGCGGAGACAAGAGGGGGGAAAGAAATGGACACAGAGGATAAACGTGGATGGACAGAGGTGAAAACCAAGGGAGGAAAAACAGAGGGAGAGGAGATGGATAAAGAAATAAACAGAAGAGAATAGAGAGGAGAGGAACGTGAAACGACTAATCAACAGCAAAATCAGGAAGTAGACAGACCCGGTGCCACGGCGCCGCTGTGGTACAACAAACGCACAAAGTCACTTTGATACACAAACGCATCAGTCAGAGCTCAACTCAGTCTTTCCTCTAACTGATGTGTTTAACCAACCCCCCCGACAGTTTCCCATCCTGCCTCATTCCGAGCGCCCCGAAGAGAAACAGCTGAAACCTCAGCGCCAGGTAAACAAGGAAACCAGAGGAAACGTAAAATCCCATTTCCCAGCAGCAGCAGCAGCAGCAGATCGGCGTCTTCGTGTGTCAAAAGTTATTTTCTCTTGGACACTGGAGCGCCTCAGTTGGCGCCCTGGTTGAAATGCTCCAGCACGGTGGCGTTGGTTCTCTCGAACAGCCACTGCTGGCTCTGCGAGGACGGGTCGCATGTGTTCATGAAGACTCGCCGCTCGTTCGGGCTGCTGTCGATGCAGCTGTTACTGACGGAATGATACAGACTTTTATCCTGGAGGAGGAAGAGAGAGAGAGACAGGAAGAGAGAGAGAGACAGGAAGAGAGAAAAAAAAACATCAGAACCTTTTCATCTATAAAATGTCCCATCGAGAAAAACAACCACTGGTGATTCTGCAGATTTGAATTCATTTTCTACCAATTAAACAAGTAAAAATCACAAAATGTGCAGGACAGAGGGATTATTTAAGTTAGATAAAGTACGTCAGGATCCAGTTTAAACATTCGTACCTTCCTGTAGCGCCACAGCTGGTTGCCCTTCATGCCGTGACAGTCGTACAGGGTGACGGGGCTGTTGTGGGAGACGGCATCAAAGCAAACCTTTTTAGTGTGCATGGGGTCGCCCACCCGGATGTCCTCTCTCCAGCCAAACGTAAAAACCTGCGGGTTCAACGTCACATTTTAAATTGAGTTCAGAGCAAAGGAAAAGGTTTTAATGCTTTTAAATTTCATCTAACGCCCCGGCGGGAGACGCAGCAACTTAGACCTTCTTCTCTTGAGACAGGAGAAAAAAATTGTCTCAACTCGGCAGTTTATAAATTTGACTTTACAATTCTAGAACTTTATCATCAGAATCCTTCATGTTTTTGACCTTGGAACTGGTTTCAAACCATTTTATTTTTCTAAAGTTGTAGAGAACACATTCCAAAAACAATATCAGGCTGCTGACGTTGTTTGGAGTCAATAATAATATTTAAAACCAAATATATGTGACAAAAACGACCTAAAATGACAGAAATCATCTTTTTAATTTTGTCCCTGTCCCATTTGCAAACATGGAGGAGGCAGGGTTTATGATCTATACTGCAGCCGGTCCATCATTTTGCTCTTAAATATTACAAAGTCTCATCATTACAAGTGTTTTTGATATAAAAATGATATATATATATATATTTAATCCAGCGCATTACAGTGTTTTCTGATCATCTATAAACTGCACCAAGATCACGATGAGTCATCAAACTCAAAGGAGAGACGTTCATCATGACGATGCGATTAATGATGTTCTTAAATCTCCACTTTGTTTTTACAGCTCGGATTCTCGTTCTTAATCGCTCTCTCATCTGATCATAAATAAATGTGAATCAGTGACGTTGTGTAATCGCCTCACAAACTCTCTGCATCAGCTCCTCTGGTTCTTTTCTCGACTGAATCAAAAAGCTCTGACGGGGACGGCTGCCAGACTCCACTCCTGTGATTTGCAGCGAATCCATTTCTCGCTGGCGCAGAAATACAGAATCGCAACCGTGACGCAGATTAAACCACAATGCATCTTCAGATTAAAGCAATTCAAGTGTCAGAGCTCTGAGGTGCAGTATTTCAGCTGCGGAAACAAAGGGGGGACATTCAATCCATTAAGGCCGCATTATGAGCTCGGCTTTAAGATCTTCAGGGTGACGTGTGAGAACAAACAGACTCCTTAAGGGCAATGTAAAGATAATGAAGCTGTGTGATGTGTGTTTGTGTGTGTGTGAGTGAGTTGTTTACGTGTCTGTGTAGCTGCATTTGACTTTTATTGTGTGTTCAGCACAAGAAATGCAATTACTAAGGAGACAATCTGTCAATGAGGGTGATGTCTCATGATTCCTCTCGGGACAGAACGACCTGACACGTTTGAAAAAGAGAAAATCCACAGACCTAAAGCTTCTGTTAAAGGACGTATCCGTCAGTGACGTTTTGAGCACGAGACTCAGACTTCTGAGTCTGATGGATTCTGAGAAGAAAAATACATCCGACAGCTTTAGGTGTGCGGATTGTCTCTTTTTTTTGGGATATTTTGTTAATCCAGAACCAATCAAAACATTTTACTTGATGTGATTCCCATTTTTCGTGATCTGAACACCAGCAGTTTGCTTTTATCCGCTCAGGTATTAGACGTACTCCTGCACAGACCTGAGAAAAGCAGAAATAGTCAAAAGCCCGGGACCATCTGCAAAACCAATTAAACCAAATATAATTTGGACCTTGATGGAGCAAAGTTATCCCATGAAGATGAAATCCTATAAATGCAGTGTAGAAAAACCACCCCTGCTCCATTAACTAAAAATATGAACTGCATCGGGTTATTTAAAGAAATGAATGAACAACAAAGGTTTGACGTTTGAGTGAGTGTGAATAAGGAGAATGTTTCCTCTGAACGTCTGTTCTATGTAACTTTGGTGAGTGGGTTCGATTCTCCTGTGAGAAGAAGTGACTGAGAGTCACCAGCACGTTGACGAGTGAAGCTGAACTGTAGATCAGTTAAAAATACTCAGGAGTTATTAAAAACCAGAGTTTATCTCCAATATTCAGCAGGAAACTGTTACAATAAAAATAATTCTAAACAGAGTTTGGTGGATTTGCTCTTCTGGTTCAGGAAGCAGAGGATCATGGGTACGAGTGGGACGACACAGTCAGAGCTGCACTCAACACACTGATAGACTTTTTATACACACGAAAACCACGTCATCGCTCGGACACGTGTGGCTGCAGGGGGCGCTGCTGCTCAGTAAAACATACGTAAGTCTTTATATCTGTGGACTAATGCGTGGCTGCTCACCTGTCCATGGCTCCAGCTCACCTCTCCCCGTCCCTTGATGCAGCTCTCCAGACGGATGGGGCTCCCTGACACAAAGTGTTTACTCTCCATACACATTCCACTGCCCACGTTACGGATCTGCAACACAAACCCACAAAACAGCACATCTGCCATTAGCATCGGAAATCACCGAGGTGCAAGCACACCTGGCTTTTAGAATAGAATGGAAGCTGGCACTCTGATTGATTACATGTTACGCTCAAAGCCATTATTATTTAAGAAACTAGGTAAAAACTATTTTTTAAAATCTCTGTTTTGTTACTTTAATCTAGATCTATCCGTGTTTTGAAGATGTAAAGGTTGACTGTACCTCCCCCCACGCAGCAGCAGGGGGCTCCACCGGTGGGTAGTGTTTGGGCAGGTCCCACGCCACCTCGCTCATGAACCACTTGAAGTTCTTGCAGTTGAGCTGGTTCCTCAGATCCTTCTGCACCGTCATGTCTCCTGCCGACAGGTGGCGGTACTCGGGCCGGCGCTGGTAGATGTATTCAGCGTATTCGTCCATCCACACCTCGGCCACACGCTTCAGATTCTGAAATCAGAGCGAACTTTTGCTTTCATTTCACGTTTATGAAATGTATCTTACAACCAACCAGCTTTGTAACCAATTATGATAAGAGAATATTCTTCATTCGAGAGAAGTCACTAATTTGCCTCATTGGGTTTTACATTCTGCACAAAATCAAAAACTCGATCTACCTAAACCCTTTTTTTTTAAAGTTTGTCGAGTGAAGCAGCAGAAAGTAACTTCCTCTGTGAACAGCTAACAACCGGCCCGGTGGCAGATTTCTCCATTTCTTCACTGAAACCATCGTCTGTACGTCCTGCCATGTTCTGACTGATCTGACACGGCAATCTGATCAAAGCTGCAGCGGAAAGTCGTCCAGTCGTCACACAGGAAGCTGTCATCATCCCCCAAGAGGCAGGTGATGAAAAAATAGAAGCAACTCAACGCAAATCATAAGAGGGGAAGAAAAGAGCGTCTTCACAAAAGTTTTATTTTTAAGAGGTTTAAGCATCATCATTTTGAATATTCATAACACACCTGAATGTATCTACTGCATCTTTAATATGAAAGAGAAACTGAATCATTGATGGTAATTTTAATAGAAGTTAAAGGCAGAATTAGAAAGTTTTTAATTTACTACATTTTAGCATTGAACCACCTGCAGCTTTAGCAGCAAATCCGGGGACAAGACTTGTTATTATGGAAAGTAATGTTGAGCCGGAGCTTTGTCAGCCGGGTGAAAAGCAGATTGTTTTAACTCTCACATATAGTGTGTCCTCACATATTCTGATAGCCAGGAATAGACACCACCTTTCTTCATACTGTATAATTCTCCTGTTAGTGTGACCTATATACACTTCGCGATACAAGCGTTCACATTGATGACAGAGATGGGAGCTGATTTCATGCTGTTTTGAGGTGAGACCCATTTCTTTGGCTCGTCTTTAAGTGTCTCTTTACATCAATGTCACTAGTGTTTTCATTAGTTTGCAACAAAGCTGTTGAGTTGGCTTAATGTTTTTTGTGGTGTGCATCTATAATTTGGTGGAAGATGTTTTTGCAGAGGACTTAATGAGGGCAGCTTGGATATAATAACTAAAAAAGAACGGACACTGGCTGTAATGCATTATTCAGCAAGCATTTAGGCCACTAAATTATGCATTTAGTGGCTTTAATGCACAGAGAAAGTAGCGTCCATATGCTTTCATCATGCATGCTGCATCAATCATAATGAAAGCATCTCGTTCCAGAGAGAAAATGCATAAGTGGAGTAAAAAAGGAAAAAGAGCCGGATACAAACTGAGCTACAGCAGCTGCAGTCAGATTCTCCAACAGGTTCTTTAAGCTCAGACAATTGCAAACATGAAAGATTTACACCGGAGCAATAGGAAGCATATCCACCTTAAGTCTTTGAAAAAAAAAAAAAAAAAAAACACAGCTCCCGTCGAGCTCAGAGGTACGAGCGCATGTCTGGGAATACAGATGGACGCAGCTGTGTGGGTACGGATTGGTGAGAAGAATGAGGATACAGGTTCGCTGAGCCTCCCAGGAAAAAACAGATACAAATCCCCCTGCCTTCAGAGGAACACACACACAGACACACACACAGACACGCACACATGGACACACACGGACTCCCTGTAGCAAAGCTTATTGCCTGCAGCTAAACTCAGACTCCAGGTGAAGTGGAGTTCAGTGGTTTTATCTCCCTCCATGGTGACTGGTACGCACGCACGTTTGCACTTCTATCTTAGTGAGGACACTCATTGACATAATACTTTCTCTCGTCCCTTACTCTAACCTTAAGCATCCAAACTAAATGCCTAACCCTAAACCTTACACACACACACACAAACACACATACACAAGAGACACATGAAGACACCAGAAGAATGTGTGGTGTGAACTCGTCATTACACTAAATAAATGTTTGTTGGTTTTCTTTAAACTGGGCTCAGACTACAGAAGTTCCATCAGGCACTAGAGGAGAATCTTGGGGGATATTCTCTCTAATCTCAAACATAAAAATAATGGTTCTTCATCCATCACAGGATAGATGGATAGATTATTGCTTCAGAGGGAGTGATGCACCAAATCACACGTCACCTTATGAGGAAGGAGTTGCAAACTTAAAACTGGAGGTGAGGTTTTAATTGTCACTTCTCAGTTCAGTAGCTTGTTCTGCAGTCACCATCTCAAAAGCTCGACTCGCCTCTCGTACTGACGTAATTAACCCATTTTTAATCTTAAATATCGAATGCGTTTGATAATTAAAGGGGCAGTCCCGATGATTGTGCCGGCGGTTCTGGAGGTTTAATAACGGCTCTGTATCACCTCACATGACCAGATAATCTGCAAGGTTCCAGACCAGATTTCTTGAATGTGGGTTACATCGGTCAAAAGTTCCTGTTGTCTGATCCCAGCTTTAAACGAGCGCTTCTGTTTGTTTGGCACAAGAACCAAGGAAGAGTTATCTTTCTCGACCAACGGCCGAGCTAAAGTGGATATTTAACAGACCAAACGTTCAGAGAGTTCGTTGTGTGATTTTTTTTTATCTTTGGTTTATAAAGAGTTGTTTTGAATTGGCCTCACCAGTGATGCAGAACCCTGAAGAGAATCAGGTGAAAAGAAAAACATGTTTATGAAATGTTCTGGGTTCTTTTGAAGCTATAATGCAGAGAAGGACACAGGAGACCAAACTGAATCCATCACAGCCGGAGGAACGGTGAGTAATTCAGAATAGTTAAACCTGCTGCCTGTCTGATATTAACATTCACTGCAGCGTCACTCTGGGGTTAATGGTCAGAGCGGCGGGACAAAAACAGAGGCCAAGAGGTTTAATTACATATTCAGCCGAGCCGAACAGAGCCAGGTGTCAGACTGAGGCTGAGTCATGCATGATGAATAGTGTTCGCCTACAGGCCAAAAGAAAACATCTCTCAGACATGTGTGGAGGAAATGAAATAGAGAAACTTTCATAAGATCATATTTGGTAAACTGGAAGTTGGAGTTTGGATCCATGTTGAAACAAGTTAAAAGATACTGAAGGTGCTAAAATTTGTTGTTTTACACTGCAAAACTGGATTTGAATTAGAATTTGAAGGGTGAGTTCAGATGATTTAAAAAAATATTCTTCACATTCACAGGTTTAGTTTTGAGTTATTAAAAACTTTGGATTTAAATCTGAAACTACCTGATCAGAAAAAAAGTAAGGTTGGTTCTATTTGTGTTTCTTTTTATGTATTTATTTCACAGTAAATGTATGTTTAAACTGTAAAATATTAAGCCTCAATGTTCTCTGTCATAAGGGTTTGATATCCTAGGAATCATTGCAATTAATACACATATTTCAGTCGATTATAATCTTTATATTAGCATTGGTGCCAAAATAATATTTGTCGGGTTATTCTTCATATTCAGTGTTTTCAACATTTGTTTAGTTTTTTGCAGTGCAATATGTAAAATCCCCAAATCTCTGCATGTTCTTAAAACATGCTTCGCACAGACACACAAACATAAACACAACACATCAGAAAAGTTAATAGATATTCTCCCCTCACAACATTTTCTCTAAACAAAAACCTTGTGTCCACACTGAGTCTCACCTTGGCAAGACTGACCCCTCCAGGAACCTTGTAGGGGACGTACTTCCTGTAGATGTGTCCCACCCTGGAGCAGGGGATGTCCTCCATCCGACCACCACACATCCACACCTGCAGAGGCACAGAGAGAGACACAGAGCACTGATGAAGACGGTATCAGGGCGGAGGTGGTCACCCTAAAAGTGCAATGATCTGATGAGCTGACAAGGTCAACAAATCCCAGAAGATGTGACACATAGAGTGTGAGAAAAAGAAAGTGTGCGAAGACGTGATAAAGCAACGAAGGGCAGATAAAGTTAGAATAAAAAGAAAACGACAGATGGAAGGTGCGGAGAGATGACTCATAAACAGGGACCAGGGAGGTGTTGTGTGGTTTACGTGCAGGGTCGCAGGGTTTGTTGAATGAATTATAGGACGGCAAAGACAAAAAAGAAAGTACGACTTATGTTTACGACCAGAAACATTAAAATGTTGTTAGATAACAACAAAGGACAAAAAAATGTAAAAAATGCAGATGATTATCCACAAAAAGTGCAGAGACGTGACAACAACATTTTAAACAACGCTACAAAATTAATGGAAAGTTTCCGGGGGTTTCTCGATTGCACAGAGACCAGAGAGCGTAAACGACATCAAAGAGAACAAGCGCGTCAATCACGCTCAGCTCAACGATAAAGACTGAAATTGGATTTGTTCTGCTGCTCAGGGGAAGCGCAGCCACGATTCAAGTCTACAGAGAGCGAGGGTTTGAAATTTTAAAGATAAAGTTTTCTTTAATCTTGTTCAGAACAGTCTGAGGACAGAAGGTCAGAGAGTTCCAGCAGCGTGAGAGCTCTTTAAGATTAACATCTTTTTATGCTGCATATTGATAATTTCCACTTTGCGGTGCCCTGCTGAACTCATGCATTTACGTTTGTGTTGCAGAAACCTTAGTTCACTATAGCTCGGGCAGGTACAGGGACCATAATGCACTGCTGTTACTACACACTTACATTTTACACCACAAAGCCATGTTTTCAGATAAGCATACTGCAGGCCGTGCTGTATGTGGCCATTGCACATTGTAGTATATTCTGTGTATATAGTAT